GATGCATAATAAATATTTCTGAATGAATGAATGAGCGTTGAGGTTTGGACTTAAAACCATACCAAGTGAATGAACATTTTGAATTCGTTAACTAGCATCCACAGACTTTGTTAAACTCTATGCAGGTGAAATGACACTTCTCGCCCTCTCCTCCCCCACTCCACCGCCCCCCCCACACACACACACACACCACACACAGAGACACACTTCGTTCTTTGTGGAAAGTAGACATGAACCTCACAGACAGGTCTGGTGATAGGACTAAAGGAAAAGTAAGAAAGTGACTACCAAGAACTGCATCTGTTTTCTGGGAGTTCTCCCAGTTGGCCCAAAATGGTTCCCTCAACCGAGACTGCAAATCTTCATGAAAATTAAACAGCCAGGGAACTTGTGAGAGGACAGACTTAGAATACAAGAGACTACCATCAGAAAGCCAACAAACATCCTGGTCATATCCACTGGTATTAATCTCTGAATATTTTTATCACAAATACTGAGGGTCTACTTGGCCAAAGAGATGGACTCTAAGCCATAGCACCTTAGGAATCTTAACAATTTTAAGACATGGACAAAACTAAATGTCAAGTTCACATCCAGGAATAAGGGGTCAATATGAGACAAGGGCACGCTCCAGTTTCTATCCTTCTCTCCCTGGAGCCAGAAGGCACCCAGACCCTGGAGGAGGGTCCTCCAGGACTCACTAAATCATGGCAGATGAGTTCCAAGACCAAGCAGCGGAGGAATGCTTTGGTACAGCTTGGATGGGAACTTGCAAGCCTGAGGACAGGGAAAGCAACGCCCACTGCAGCAAAGGCTCTACCGCTCAGCTGTATAAACAAATAAAATGGTCCATTTCTTCTGGATCCTCTCCTAGTTGTCTCTGCGCACACACACGCGCGCGTGCGCGCGCACACACACACACACACACACAAACCACTTCATATCTTAAAAGAAAAACAACCAAGAAAGGTCTACTCAGTTTGTTTTTGCTACATGGGGAGGTTTTTTTTTTCCCCCTAAATCACATCTGACTTGGTGTTAAAACATCAACCTTTGGCCAAAATACTCTTAAAACAAAGGCTTAATTGGTTCTGAAGCAGCCCTTCTGAAAACCAAATGAAATTATCTTCTGTGGGTTTTGACCTTGATTATAACACTGCTCTTGGGGTTGTAATAATGATGAGTGGAGAGTGTTGGAAGAGTTCTCTTCCAGGAGGCAACAGAGATGCCTAAACATCTATCCACAGTCACCGGCAGGGCATCCCTGGGAGTCATCTGCAATGCGGGTACACCTCTGCATTCGGCCTGCAAAATCTCTCCCGGGTTAACAGGAGTTCCTGAGAGCTGGGGCCAGAAGCCAAACCAATGCGTGAAGGGGCCTGCACTGGAGCCTGGGCAAAGTGGCCTCTGATCACACCTAGATTATCTTATCGTACTGCTCACATCACTCACATACCTAACAACAACCATGCTAGTGTATTCCCATGGCAACACTTGAAATCCAATGTTTGAGTCTCTCTTAAAAGGTCGATGCAAAGCTAAGCACATACATTACTCTTTGCCTCTACAAGTCCACCCTGCGTATGAACAGGTGAGAGTGAGAACGTTACCAGGGCCTTATTCATAACAGAAAACTGGAAGCAATCCAAATATCCGACAACATAGAAAAAATATGCATTGTGGCATATTCCTATGTGGAATACTATGCAGCCATAAAAAAGAGCAAATTTGCTACACACAGTAATAGAGATGAAACTCACAGACACGATGCTGAGTAGGGACAGCTATCTGACGGTACATTGTATACAATTCCACTCACTACTAAGAAGCTAAAAAACAGATAAAACTAATCCATGGTGATAGATAAAACTAATCCGTGGCAAAATTTTTTCTTGGAGGTGGGGGAAGCCAGAAGACTAGAAAGAGAAGACTTCTAGAGAGTTAGTAATATTCATTCTCTGGGGCCAGCAGTCCATGGGCCAAATCCAGCCACCATTTTTATAAATAAAGTTTTATTGGGACACAGACACATCTATTCATTTGGGTAATATTTTTGGCTGCTTTTGCATCACAATGTCAGAGTTGAATAGTTGCCATAGAGATTTTATGGCCCACCAAGCGTGAAATAATTACTATCTAGCCCTTTACAGAAAAAGTATTCCAATCACATTCTTTATCATATTGATTTGGCTAAAGTTTTCATTGATAGTAAAAGCTCATCCACCTTTCCACCAAAGATCTATCTGAGCACTTGCTGTATGTACATTATACTTCAATAAAACTTTGCAAAAGCCAATAATTAAATAACTGTCCAAAAAAACAAAAGGCCTTTTCATTTTTACTCCATTTATTTATGGTACCCATTTAGAGAGAATCTGGTCATTCGTGTTACTTTCATCTCTTCAAACCTGAGAAGAGTTAGGTGATTGTCAAAGTGGGGGACGATCCCAACACAGCAATTGATGATTATGTCCAAAGCTTTTACAAGGGCAGGACATGCTCACAGAATCCCTCAGAGGCCATTCATACAAACGGAGAAGGCTGAGATCAGGGGGCGGGGGGGAGGATGAATCTCATGTGATACGTGGTGTCATGCTACTCGAGGTTATTTTAGGATATAGCTTAGGAGAGCGACAGGCTCAGCTCATATTGAAATACAGTATTTAAAGTTAAACCGTTTTAAGTTTCCAGGGAAGAAAATTCGGCCCTGACGATCGCATACGCAAGCCTTACACTGGAGCACAGAGCGCAGGGAACGTCTGCTCTAGGCCACACCGAAGTGGCGCCACCCTCTCCTCTGAGCCCGCATGGGGCTGCGCTGCCATGCACCTTGGGAACAATATTTTTGTGTCTGAGGTTTCCTCTTTTTCCCTCTGCTTCTTTTGTTTTGTTTTTCTGCCATTTATCCTTTGATGATCGAACTAGAATTACAGCTAGCTGCCATTTGGCACGGCCTCGTCCTGGTCTAGCGGAGGACGGGGGAGAATGAACACTGAAAGCACGCCGGTGCTGGGTCTCTAATAAAATGTCTCTCTGTTTGCCCACATGGGCATCAAGCCTTCGCAAATAGAAGCGGGGCAGAACAATACTACCTGTTCATGGAAGAATAGTAATGGTTTCAGTCCTCCAAACAATGAGCTCTGTAATTTACTCCATCTTCCTCCTGAGAAAGAGCTTCACATGGCCTGCACCGTGCCAGGTGGTTTGGAGAACAGACGAACTGCTCGGCCTAACAAGGGACACTTCAGCAACGGGTGTAAAGACACAACAGCTGGTCTGGTCTCGGCTGGTCTCCCAGTGACATGGCCCCAGCCAGCCTTTCCACACCAAGATAGGGATCACTATGCTATTCAATCTCAACGATTCCCACACCCCGGGCAACAGGATTTTCCAGCACTCCTCAGATGCAGCAGGCCTCAGGACACCGTGCCCGTCATCCATTCATCAGGAGTTAGGGTTTGGGCATGTTCTCTAACCAAGCTCCAAGTCAAAACCATTTTCTGGGAGCAAGACTCACTGTGCCATTAATCAAAAGAGAGCAGGGTCCACCAGCAAGTGCTGGCAAGAACAACTGCAGGATTCAGTTACAGACACCAGTCTTGAAAATATCTAGGGATGGAGGGGAGAAATTGAGGTCGCACTTTCCCCCTCAAACACACACACACACACGCACACGCACATACACACACACACACACACCAGCCAGCGCAAATTCAGAAGTAATCAAAATATTTTTTAAAGAAGTTAACATTGCCTTGAAATGGGTACAAAAATATCAGAAATCTACCAAATAAAAATGTCTGCTGAGTCATACTCATCACTGATGGAATGATGCATAATTTACCTGGGGCAAATGGCTACTTATCCAGGAAGATGCAGATTTCAAATAGCAGAGCTATAAAGATGCAATGTGGCTGTAGTTCCATGAGACCACACATACATGCACGTACACATCATGTACACATACACAATTATCTGCAAGAGAGTACCTACAAGAAAAAACGATGCAACAACATAGATCATTTAACCAACAGACATCAAATTCCAGGAAGAAAAGACCTTAGGGCCAGACTTTAACACAAACGACCAGTTTCAAAAGCCTCCCTTCAAAGGGTTAAACCAGAAGACTCAAGAAGTTTCAGTACCATCAGTTACGCCATGAGGTACATCCATCCTGGCAAAGCCAGGCAAGGCCAGGCAGACAGACGAAAATCGTATTAGTCTGCTCTCCCTCCACTACTGCATTCTGTTGGCATCGGTTAAAAATTAGTCCGTGATGTGTTTAGCCTTTGGATTTGAGAGAATGGAAGTACTACGTGAGCAGGAAACAGGACACTCATCAGAAGCTGGGATCTGTCGCCTTTCCCTTCCAGCACTTTCAGTGTCATATATCAAGAGGCCCAGGAGAAATCAACATTTCAGGACAATCAGGTCAAAAGTGATATTCTTAGCACCACTTAACATGATGTGGATGCATCGGAAACAACTCTCTGGCTGTCGCATGGCCTCTTCTCCCATCTCCCCACCTTAATTCTTCTAGTTCATTTTCTGTCGTCTCATTTCACTCCCAACTTAAGACCCCACCCGAAGCAAAAAAAGAGTAGCCAAGCCGGGGGAGTGCGTGCCCATTAAACATAAAGAGACTCTTCACAAAAAACCCTGGCTTCTTTTTCTTCCCACATTTTTAAATCATTTTAGCATTTCTTCTGCTCATGTTTCTTCTTTGCTTCCCACCTCCCCCAATGAATCAACCACCACCACCATCATCATCATCATCACCACTCATCATCATCATCATCACCATCAGCAGCAGCAGCATCACCATGAGCATCACCACCACCACCACCGCCATCATCACTACCATCATCATCACCATCATCACCACCATCACCACCACCACCATTCATCATCACCTAGGTTGGGGGAAGGGGTGGAGAATAAAAGACACAAGAGACCTACATATTGACAATTCAAACTTAAGGATCTCTTGCATTTCCTACCTGAATTGCAATCTGGTGTTCAATCGTTTTGTACGCAGAGTAATGTGTGCTCCCGGACTGAAAATGGAGCTGTAGAAAGAAACCAAATCAAAGCGTTCTGCTTATGTCACAAACTACAAGAAAACATCTTAAGCAGTTTATGAATAGCAGACAAACCTTCCTAGACTGAACTGCAGCCTTGGCATTCAATCAAGACCTGTGTATTTTTATTTGTTGCTATGGATAAGATCATAATAATCTAAGGTAAAGTTTAAAAAAAAAAAAAAAAGCCCTATTCAATAAGCAAAAAGGGAGCGGGTAGGGACCAGGAGTGAGAGTCAATGACATGAAAAGGAAAGACGGATGCCCATTAAGACATGAAGGAAGCCAGTGTGCTGAGTAGGATGCTGCAGAAAAATTAACTGTGCTGCAAAAAGTCATCAGAATTACAACATGTAGGCAAGAGGAAAAGACTGTGAGAGAGAGGATTATGAAAAGCCACAAGACTGCCACAGGTATAACAAGCCCCCCCCCCACCCCCCACAGTTCTAATAACTGGGCTCTAGCTCTCAAACACAATTCTATTTTGGGGAAAACAAATGTGTCAGGCAGAACCCAGGGGCCACCCAATGCCTTATACATTCTTTCACAATGACTAAGTCACCCGGCCCAGGACAGCTCTGTAGCCCGCACTCTAGGAATCAACCCACACTTCCCCAAAGAGGAGCCAACCACTGCCAAAGAGCCACTGAGTTTTCTAAACAGAGACCACCTACTCAGTGGCCCCTGGGTGAATGTCCATCCCGGTCCACCCAGACCCTCCTCAACAGAAGGCTGAAGTCTATCCCGGGCCTTCTAATCCCTCTGAAGCCCGAGAGGTGCCCCCCTCCCCCATCAAAGTGAGTATCCCCAAATAAAATGGAACACTGAGATTCCTCACCAAATTCTTCTTTTCCCAAATAACACTTGCTAACCTTGGGATTCTACCAATTGGGAAAACAAGCACCATCTGCTGACTTCTTTTATAAACAACCACCAATAAATGATCTCGACAATATCTGAAAATGCATTTTAATTTGCCATTTATGAACAAATGATGAAGACTCAGACGGTCCTAAGAAATCGCTGCCCATCCCCCTTGTAGCAACAGGCCAATCAGCTGTGTTTCCCGGCACAGATCTACGCTAGCGAATCCACCACTGTCACAGCTACGGAACCATCGGCATTGCCGTCAGCACTGCCGTCACCGTCACCATCACCTTTCTGTATAGCAAAGTGTCACTCAGCCTGCAAGGGAGTTTTAGGCCCAATTACTTTATATCTTGCTCCCTGCCAGAAAAAGTATTCAGTCCTCACAGGTTTTTATTTAAAAAAAAGGGGGGGGGCAGAATTCACATAAGATCTTTTAAAGCAACTCAAAATAAACACAACACAGAAGTAATCAAATTTTTTTAAGTAGTCTAAATCCACATTGCTCATGGGATAAAGTTGCAAGTTCCCGTTTTGGGATATAATGGGTTCTGGGATCATTTTATCTGTTCAAAATAAACAAAAATACTGCCTGTATATATTATGAGTCCACTTGCCCCAAAACATAATCTTAACCAAAGTTAAAAGGGGGCACAAAGGTGGGCCAAAAAAAGTATCCCATCGCCTGTCAAACCAGAGTAACAAACCACGCTCCCTAAAACAAGCAAAGATGAACACTGAGCAACTGAAGATATGCACCCCCCCCACCCACAATCCCCCACACACAGTGAGAAGCAGGTCATCGAAAGTGAATCGCTGAAAAAGAAAGATGAATTTGCACCCTTTGCCCCCCTGTCCTTTTTGTGAAAACTGCCAGTCAGCAAGAGATTGCACTAATTACTGTGACAATCCTGCATCATGTTAAAACAACTTTTGTGTTAGAGACAGGTTCCTCTGCGAGTTTGGAATTCTTGGTTGGCAAGCAGCTCTTGTCTGAGGGGGGTGGTTCTCCTTCTAAGTAGAGAAGGCAACACTAACAACGTGTCCCCCTTTTCAGTGGGTTTTATTCTCCTCTTTTCCAAATGCCTGATTCAGAGCTTAATGGAAACTTGTCCGAGCTCTGCTTCCCACAGACCCTGCACAGCCCTAGGCGATCTGTACTCAAGGCAACCACAGGAATCCTATATTGTCAATTAAAATTGAATGGACACCTGATAACTAAGTATAGGTCGTGGAAACAAAATTTCATATAATCACAGCCTTATGAATACATTAATGAAACTGTGGCTAATCCAAACTCAATTTTCACTTGTCGGGTTCCATTCTTAATCTTGGCCCTCATCACCGAACACCACCACAACCTGGAGACAAAGGTGCAATTAAAACAGTAAAGATGCAGCTACCTGAAGAATCTAGTAGGACAAGGTTAATCTAACCTTCACACAGACCATCTGAACGCCCCCCAAGTAATGTCACTTCCCTCCTCAGGTGTCCAGCCACACAGAATGACCTCCGCCAGCTCCCAAATACCCACAGCACAAGCTCCAATCAGGCCTTTACTCCCAGCCAGTAACCACTGTGTTGGAACGACTTCGAGCTCAACTTCCCCCAGCTATAGTGACGAGGACTTAACAATTTTCTTGTTTCTCCTCTGGGTTTCCACCCCCTCTTTTCCCAAATACTCTTTTTCTAAAACACGCTTTAAACTGCTTTTTCCTTCCCTGTAAAACACAAATATGCCTTGTTTGTTAGAGTCTAGCCTTTTAAGACAAAGATAAAATACAAGGACCCTGTAAAAACTTGGCATTCTAATCTGGAAAAATAATAGTATTTATATCTCTGTGAAAAGCTAAAAGGAAGGAGCGAACAAAAGATGGTTGGCCCTTGGCTTTTTTGGAAGAGATGTGGAGGCTGAGAGATACAGGACAAGACGGGTACCCAAGGCTTATCCAAGTTTAAGAACAAGGTTCCCACAACCCTCAGCTCTTGGGACCACCCTGCCCTTGGTCACCTGCAGCACTCCACATCACTTCCTCATCCAACTACAGTGGCTGTTACGCCCTGGGCATGCAACACGCCCTCAACTCGGTGCCTCCTTCCCAGGGGTACCCAGGGGCAGTCACCAAAGGAGAACGTCAAGGTACTTTCCATTTAATTCCTTCCTGCAAAACTCTCGGCAAAATAAACCTTCCCTTCCTGTGTGCTTGTTTACAGTGGCCAAGCTCACCCACCCATTCTAGCACCCCCAGGTGACCGGCCCTCTCTTGTCCAAAGGAAGAACCTTGAAGATGTGGCTGGGCTCAGCACAGGCGCGCGCAATTCTCCAGCAACTGAAAATCACACCAACATTTTGCGATGAACTGCTTCCCTTGTTATTAGCATATATTAATTTTTCTTGTTTTATATCTAATCACTACTACTGGCCCTAAATTTGGTGTCTCAGATACAAAGATATCAGAGATTTCCAGAGATGGGAGGAAAGGGGCTGGGCCTTTACAACCAGAGATCTCATCCTCAAAGGCGACTAAACAAACTGAAACCCTGCTGGTTTTTCTAGCACTAAGTGAACTTCCAATGTGATGATAAAAAAAATATATATATGCCTATTCATTCCATTAAATTGGGAAGAGGTGGAGCATTTGCTTTATTTTCAGCTTTATGAATCACCTAGCTTTCCCTTTTATTAAAAAATAAATAAATCCGCACTCATTTCCTACAAGATTTTGGTTTTAGGGATTTTTTTTTTTTTTTTTTTTTTTGGTCCACTTTCCTTTCTACCCGGTAGCTACCACCATGAGCCACTTAAAATGTAATTTCCATGCCATTAGCTTAAAAGACAGAATACTTTTTTTTCTTAAGTATATCTAAGACTTTTTCTTAGGGAGCCTCAGACATTGAATGGAGTAAACTTCTGGCCAGGACTCTGGGCTACTGCCTGCCCTTCTACACAAGTGTCAAGGGGGCCCTCTGACTTCCACTGGGAAGGCAAAACCAGCACTGACTGGTAGGTACGTGGGCTTAAACATTCCTGCAAAGATCTAGACACTGAACATTTACACCATCCTAAAACAACAACTTAAAACAAAGGCATCCCCTTTTCACTTCCTGGCATTCTCCAGAAATCCTGCTGCAACAAAACGCATGCCTTTAGATGCAAGAACAACCTCTCCTACTGTCTCCATGTTCCATCAAATGTCTATTTACCCTCATTAATTTTTTTCTTTTCTTTTCCTCAACCTGAAACCATCAGCTATGAGTCAGAGAGCGATCATTAATTTTTACAGCTTCCACACACATCCACCTACTCACATTTGGGGAAAGAAGTATTGACTTGCAACATTGCCTGAGACCAAAATCCTCTAAGAAGAAAAAAAAGAGAAAAAAAATTGCTTTAAGAAAGTTACATCTATAGGTCTATGGGGGAAGATGCTACATTCATTGTTTTTCCACTTTGTACTACAATCTCCTGCAATATAAAAATTTTTTTTTAAATGTTGAAGTTGAACTTAGTTATGGTGATCGGCATTTCTAGGTTTACTTTTGAGAAAAATCTACATGATTTTCTTTAGACATCAAAACATAAAAGTTCTTAACTGTTTTTTGGCGGGGGGAGGGATATAAAAAGTGAATCGAGTTGCCTACTCTTGTACAAAATACATCCTAGCATACAAAAACACGTGGACTCAAGTGCTGAGACATGTTCCTAACACAGCATTTTCATTAAAAGTTGCTACACTAACACTCTTAAAATGATGCCCCATCATTACTCCACTTAGCAGTCACAGTGCTGCAACTCATAACGAATTAATTTGCATTAATGTGGGTTTCATGTGTATGCCCTGGGTATGCCATTGTGATTCAGGCTTAATAAAACTGACACAACAATAATATAGTGCCTTTTATTTCACTTTCTAAAACAAACCAACCCACACCAAGACCCACACAAATCCTCTCAATTTCTTAAGCATTTTACTAATATATTTAGTACATCATAATTGACCCAGCACGCAGGGACCTAGTTATCTTCTCAGTAAATATTTATAGCATCACTCGTTCCCATTCATTCTGCATTTTCTTAGAGAATCTCACTGTAGCCTACATCTGCAATTCATTGACTTTACAATTTACCACATGTT